ATATTTTTTATTTGCTTCTAAAATAATTTAATTAGATTAGAATAATTTTCAGTATAAAACAGAGAGAGATTGTCTTATTCTTATATTTTTTAGATTCTAATATTAAGTCGAAAATATAATAGGAATAATACAAGAAAGAAAAAATATGTACTTTTTTCGGGAGATCCTCTCTCGCAGTGTCTTCCTTTTTTATGAACGATACATCGTTAACTCAGTTTCCTGTTCCATAGCTCATGTTTCCGACCTCTCTCTTATCTCGATGCAGCTAGAGATCGAAAAGGAGAATGCCATTATTTCTCACTCCCGTCCATATCCGCGAAAACGGAACGAGCTCGATGGTTCGATTGCATTCGATGAAATCGGCTGCAATCGTACGACGAAATAGATTCGAAGTAAATTGGAAATGCCTTCTTGCGGTTTTTTTGATTTTTATTTTCGTATATAAATGTCGTGTAATGCAGCCGGATGAAGGAGGAGATGGAACTAGGACTCCTATATGTAAAAATATAGTTTTCTTAATAATTATTTTCAAAGATTTTATCCAAAGAGTCCAGTCCACTGTTATAAGATAGAATAATTAGACACAGAATAATCGTACGTTTAAATTCGAGTGTAATTTCGAAAGCGAATTCTATTACGATCGCGAATATTCTCCAGAATATCGATTCTAGAAACTAAGTTACGATTCTCTTGAGTCTTTGACGCAAGGAAATACGTATGACGTCGTTCCACAGATCTCTCCGCGTTTGACGGTTTTACATCCTGCCACATATAAGGAATTCAATAGTTTTCTAAGTACAACATTTTCTTGAGAGCAGTCAATCGGAAATTCGCGTGCAATAAAAGCAAAATGTCATAAAATAACGTTCTTTACATCAGCAAAGCAAACTTTACATTACGGTGCGTGAAAAATGCGGTGAGAAAAATTTTTCTCATGATTTGATATATTCGAGGGGGAGCATCGTATTTTGTCAATTTTAAAAGATACAGGTCGTGCACGTAGTTTCTGGAATTTTAAAGATTTTGATTAGGAGAGAAAAGCTATTTTCTTATTCCTTCGTATCTCTTTCTCTTCCGCTTTTCATTTTGCGGAATGAAGAAGCTTACATGAGCATTTCGCTTGATATCGCGAAATTTTCCTCGACAGATATAGACCGGTTAAAATGGCTCGCATTTTCATTATTTCGACGACATTACCCCAATTTTGCTATCGAGAGCATAAATGCGTCTAATTATGGTACAAATGCGCGTCCTACTTTCATGGACGCGCCGCTCAGGCAGAAAGGGGCAACATTTCCATTAAATAGATCATATTTTGGCTTGAAATTTTCCGCATGTATAGGAGGCATAAAATTGTTCATCGCACGGGACGTTGCGGTCTGTCGTCATGAGAGAACATGAAAAAAAAAAGAACATAATTGCAAATAATTAAAAACACACGGGACACTCACTCCCAAAGGAATCTCGAGAATGTTTCGGTCGAGCTCTGAATAGCCGGAACATGCTCCTAACCGGTTCCCGCATTTCTTTCCTGCGGTAGCGTCACTCGAAAGTCTTTCGATGTGTGTTACGGGGGTTGTTGGAAACCACCCTCGTTGAGTCGTACCTTTCTGCCTTTTAATTCACGATTCCACCAACTACCGTTTTGGTTTAACCGAGAGAAAATTACGAGGAGGGTAATTAAATATTTCTGCGATGAGCGACGAAAGCCATAAACAGCGCTGGCGTGTAACACGATTATTATGGCCGGTGGTCCATTACGATTACCAGGTTTACAGAGCCGTACGTATGAGATCTCTGAAACTGTCGGCCGCGAAATTCTTTCGACGCGAGAAACTCGTCGTCACTTTAATTATATGGCGACGCCACATTAAGCTATTTTAATTACAGACAGAATATACTAATTTGACGGTACCGACAAAATGAAAAATCGTGTTTCTCGTAAAAAAAAAATATAGTGAAATTTTCACCAGTCATTTTCCCAATATACATTTTATATTTTTCATTATTATTTATTCTCTCTCTCTCTCTCTGCTCTAGATTATTAATAAATATTTAATCGCATCGAAAGGATCTAGTAAGCTTTTGAAAGAATTCCGCATTTTTCTTCGTCGATCATTGACAGAATATTATGGATCGAATGGAAAATCCGATTCACACCGAGAATATCAAATATATATACATCAGGCACTTGAGAATTGAGCTTCGCGGGAGCCGACACGAATCTGTAATACGTGCGGGATGGGGATAAATGCGCGACCGATTGCTTCGCAATTTTTACGGCACGTTTACCGCTTCCGCATCCCGCGTTTCGTATTCAGCATCCATTTGTGAGGATCTTTAAGCGTTAATATCAGAGATAATCGCGCACTTTAAGTACAATCGAGTCATTTTATCTATCGCATTTACCGCCGTTTGTATGGATAAGATTCAAGCGCGTCGTCCTTTTCTTGAAAACCTGACGTACAATTTCCCCGGCTTTCCCAACGACACGTGGCATTCGTCGCCCGCGGCTCCCGAGAGGCACTTCTTTTTCAAACCGGAGCAAGAGAGACGAACTATTATTTGGCATACAATACGTCCGACGAGGCTTTCACTCGTTATCGGTAACGAGTTGCCTTCGGCTCGCCGACATGAGGGAAATCGCTGGCGCGTCTCCCGATGTCTTTTATCGGAGCTACTTTCGAGAGTTTCTCGGAGTTTGCTCGTGGAATCGGTGTCCAGAGCGGAATCGGAGTTCGAGTTTCCGGAGGAAAGACGTGTTTCGTAGCAGCGAGTGGTGATTATTACTTAAGGTTTACTTAGTTGGGTTGATTTTGCCAACGCGATATTATTGTACGCATATCGTTTCGAAATTGTATCTTTTAAATTTCTTTACTTTACCTAAGCATTGTTTGCGAAGATATTTAAATAAGAGATGACAGTATAAATATAGTAGATTCGAAAGATTCTGCGCAAACATATTTACAAATGGTTCTTATATACAAAATGGGAGAATGTCAGACGTTATTTACATCGATATAGATACTCCCATGGCGAATACACGCCCGTGTACATATTTGTACACGGACACCCGCGCGAAGTAGAAATATACGGAAGTAGGTGGAAGAGACACACGAGTTTGTACCAGCGAGAGTACCGGAAATTCGTATCTACCCTCCGGTAACCCGAGAAACCCGGGGACCAACAGCCACGGGCCACTCTCCCGAGTAAATTTCATTCTCCTTGCGTCTCCTACCGATGCACATTCCACTCCATTCTCTCGAGTTTCTTTTTTATTCTCTCTTCTCCATTAACGTCCTTTCTTTTCTGCACTCGCAAAACTTTCTCATTATCTGAGCGAAAATGCACAACTCTCTTTCTAAGACTAGTAAGATTCAATTGGTTTCTTTTTGTTTCGAATAAAGAAGCGATTCCAGTGGTGAACCCGATGAAACGAGTCCTATTTAGGCATTGCTGGCCATTTTTAATTCCCGTTGCATCTGATTTTATTTTTGTTCATCGCATGTTTCATTTTCGTGGTATTGGCCCACGCGGTATCGCTTTCCAGTTTTGAACATTACATGCACATTGTAAAAGTGCGCATTGTAAAAAGTTTCGAACGTTTACGAATTTTTCTAATATTTTAATTTATGCTTTGTACATAGTTTGCATCAAAATGTTTGAAATATTTTTTATTCAATTCATATTTAACTTCTATACTCAATCGTATTTTATACATGAAATAATATCAATTCGTAATTAAAACATGAAATAATAAAATAGTTTTGAGAAGATGTTAAATACATTATATAATGCCATTGTATTCTCGCTAAAACAAAAGTATTATATTAATATTTTAATAACTATTATCATCATATATACAAGTTAAGTTATTCGCGTAAAATAAGAATAACGTCTCGATTATTCTAATTTTATACACTTAATTTCTTCATCCAAATCTCACGAATTCTCGATTATTATATTAGATATAGACCAAAGATCATTTATTTTTATTCGCTAAAAATCACGACAACAATATTATTCTCGTGTAATAAAAAATTTGTTAATGGAATGCTCGCGTAATAGAATTATCGGTAGTAAATAGACAAACGGATACAACGCGTTATAGCAAATCGAACAAGACGGACGTTCCTTTGAAGTCTAATTGCCGGTGTAATTAGGACCACGCCCGGCCATACAAAGTCAACCGTGTGCGTCGTCACGACGACATTGTTCTCGCCGACTATAAATTCGCCTTGTATCACGCCCAACGATTATATGATGGAATTCAAGTTATTTGTTGGATTTTCGACTCGGCATTTTTCGCTGCTCGTCAACGTGACAAAGAGACGAGTGGAATTCGTGAGAGAACAGGCGCATCATTCTACTGGCTGTCGTCAGAATTTTACGACGGAAATTTTCGCGTGGACTTTTGTTACATTTGAAAACAACCGGATTATTTTTCTTCCGGTCGGGCGTCAAGAATTTTTACAGAGTACAACGCATTGACATCTTGAATTCGATGTCGACAAACGCGCATTGTTTTATAACTAATATTAATTACATTAATTAAATCGCAGCTTTTTAATATGTCAGCTGTGGTAGATTTTCATATATTTGCGAGAGTTTTCCTCTTTATTCTCCTCTCGGACGCAAATTACACTAGTTTAGCACATATATTTCCCGTTTGTAGCTACTTTGTGAAATATTGCAGAACAAAGGTGACTGTGTGCGTGCGTGTGGGTATAATATACAATTTCACAAAACCACCATCCGTAATTCGCGAGCACAGATAAATTAAAAAAATAAAAATAAATAAAATATTATTTGATGTTTATTACAATTCAAACTTTTTGCGTTTAGAAATTCAAATAACTATTAAAAGAATTATAAACAAATAATTTCGTCGCGATTGAAGACATTAAAATTCATAATTTTAAGTAATATTATTTCGGTCATCTGCGAATGTTCTGTAATTTATTGAAATGCGTCCGGTTTACACGTAAAGTTTAACTTACCCATCTATCAATGGCACATCCCTGAGAATTCTGCGAGCTGCTGCGAGGCGATCCCCTGCGTGGGCCGCGAGCAGAATCCTCGTCAGTAGCTGACCAAGGACCATCACGCCCACCACCATCCTCATCCTCCTCCTCGCTGGACCCGCAGCACGTCCTTACTAATGTCTTCATGCCATCACCGTTAACCCACCGGCTCACCCGCAGCACTTCCTTCAACCGGGTTGCAGGATGGCCGGATGTAACAGGATTCTTCGTCCCGATTGCGTGTCTAGTTAATTTTTTCGAAAAAATTATTTAACGCGATCATTCTTCATCTAGTTCCAAGATGAATTCTTTGTCGCGATAACAGTCACGATTTATCGCAGTCTCTCGAGGTTTTTTTCGAAAAATCTTAGATTCTTCACAGTCTTATTAGTTCTCGGGGATCAAGAGGAGAGCGTACCGGTAATATTTTTCACTGATGAGATTTTTCGAATCACGCACTCGATTTTATCACCACACACGTGAAAGTCTCTCTTTTCTCCCTCGCTGGGATAACAGAGTTGAAGGATCAGCGCTTGCTTGCCTCTTCAGAACTGGTTCTTATCTTCGGCGCATTCGTCTTCGCACGTTTCCGAGCCCACCCCAATTTCTCACATTCAGCCAGCCCGAAGGTCCACTTTTTCCACTGCCGCGATAGCTACTTCAAGCCCACCTTTCCCCTTCGTTCCACCCAGCCTTCCAGATTAACCTTCCACCCTCATCGCCATAGACTCTGTCCGATGCAGCTGCTGTCTCCGTGCTTCTTATTCCGTCTGGTTGCGCCTCTTCCGATTTCTTGTCTCTTCGGCCAGAATATTACCCCTATTTGCGCTCGTCCGTTACTTGTTCCACTTAATATTTTCGGCAAAATTAACGTTTCTTTTAATGCAATCGTTGATCTTTGAAATCGCGGCGCATTTTGATCGATTCAATGCTACCGTAACTCGAAATTCTTTCGATTACTTTCGGAGTTAGTCTTCCGAAGCGCGGTTACTCCGAATTATACTCTAAATTCGCCGTTCGTCACTTTGTTGCTCGAAGGTTTGCGGTTTGATTCCTTGTCGGGTATTCATTCTTATGGATTGAGAAACCAATTACCTGACGAGCACTTTCTCGATTGAACTATTTTTAATCATTCACGAGATGTACGTATTGTACTTTTCTCACTTTGATTCCATCCGCTGCAAAGATGATTATCGAAGCGCCGAGTCACCTCAAGGATTTGCCTCGATGGTTTGATCAGGGACAGGTTTTTCAGAGGTTTCTCCCGCTTCTGTGTCGTCGCTTTTCACCAGTCTCTAAGGATTGGAGGTCCTTCCTATCGAACAGCGCCCTTATCGACTTCTTCGTCGACGCTCGAGAGATCTAAAGCCGTTCGGTAATCGAAGACATATCGCTTTCCACAATTCTCGCCAATGTAAAGTGCTGCTGGTTGAAACCACTTAAGGGAGGTTATCGATATCGATGGTCTTTAATTTACGTCGGCGTCGACCTTGAGCTTCGACGCACTTTGATCGCTAACGAGTATATTTAAGAAAAAACTCGTTTAATAAAAATGCTCTGCATATTAATTAAGACGTTTCGAAAGTGACGAATTTTTTATTCGCGTTTTGTTCAACGAATCGGCTCTTGCGCTACTTACAACTCGTGCCATTTGCAGCTGAGAGTTTCACAGGAGATACCTCCGGGGGGACATCCTGCTACGAGGATCCCAAAGGCAGTGCCGCTCGTTACGTCCCGAAGATTAATTAGAGCCGTGAGAAACGAAGGTGTTCCGCTATTCGAGCGCGCGAAAATATCCTTTCCGGTTTCTCTCTTTATTCCTGCGGTCGGGGATCAGTGTCCCGGGGTGTTTTCTGATACGCGATCCATCTTCCGGTGTCTTTCGCGCGCGACAGGACTCTTTCTCTCTCTCTCTCTCTCTCTTTCTCTCTCGGCAGCTCCGCAGGGGTGTAGCCTCTTTTCTCTTTCTCTATTACTATTACTAAATCACTTGCATCGGCGACGGCGTTTCATAATCGCGTCCGCGATTGCTAGCCGGCACTGTCACCAAACACGGCTGGAAAAATCCGTCACGATTTATTCGGCACTTTTGATTAATTCCGCGATTAATTACGCACTTGAAAAGCGGCCGATAGATCTCGCGGCCGACGCTTCGACGTCACTCGGTAATGGATCGCCGTGCTGCGATCGACTCGGATATTTTCTAACTTCCACTGACCTGTAAAGAGAGGTGGATTTTCGTAACTTGTAGACCGGAAGAATCGAATTATCGCGCGGAAGAATCTTCAACGAGAAATATTTTATTTTCTGTCGAATCTCTTATGATTTCTCTGATTATGATAGCTCGATATAAATTATTGCAAGATTATAATACATAAATTTATTACGTTACCGATAAATTGAATTCGATTTGGATGCTAAAATTAGTTTGCTAATAGACTACATAATAACTTGTATCAACCGGTAGTAGATCACACAAAGTGGTTTATAATTAAAAATCAATTTCCACGGTAACAATCAGCTTACGTAACCAGGTGTATAACTAGAATTACATGATTGCAGAAAAGTATCGTTATTTAGAATCTTTTGCGCGAAACGAGTAAAATTTTCTATTGTTCATAATTAAATTTTCCATGTTTATTTCCTCCTAATGTTATTCTCATTAAGATAATGAAGACCAGATTGATCAGCGTCGCATCGAATTATGGAAAGGCGATGGAATCGGTGCACGATATGTCAGATATAATTGATGACTGTAATCCGGTCACCGTTGTTCCCGAGCGTATTATCGTTCCAATATTTCGAGTTATCATAAACGTTGAACATCACAGGGATAATTCCCCGTAATTATCCTCTCTCTCCGCACTCTCTTTCTGACACGTAATCTCATTGTGTCTGTCACGTTGGACGCGTAATCTTCTTAACGCGAGCGCGGTTAGTAATTCGACAGCTTATAGAAGATCGGACAAACCGGCGGCGAGCGATGGCGTGCAACAACGAGGCCGTTAACGTCGACTAATGAGTTAGCTTGTTCATAATTATCGGCAGACGCGGCCGCCCGCCCTCGCGCCCGGTTATCGCCGTGATACACAGTATTTATCTGCATACGATGATTAATTAGCGCTGATGACCGCGCCTTTCCAACCGTTGCGGTAGAGCATATGTTTGTACATGTTGTTTATATATACGTACATACTCTTTAACTTGGCGAAATTCTCTATTTCTCTTCCCGTTTCTTTTTGCAAAGGAATACATGTTCACAAACGCGTATTTCAAAAGTTGATAAAATATCGATACAAACATTTAATATAAATAGTAAAATATTTTGTGGCGTATGTTTATTAATTCATTTTTAATGAATAAAATATATAATAAAAATATTATATATATAATATTATATATAATATTATATATAATATAATATTATATATAATAAAAATATTATATGATTATATATATGATATATAAAAAAATTAATGCTTCCTGCGGGAAGCTTGCGTTTTATAGCGGATATTATATTTATCTAGCACTGGCCATATATATCAAATCATGTGTTTGTTCGGGTTTAGAAACAAAATTGATGTCACTCGCGGAAACGACGTATAATTTCCTTTCCGGTATCGAATCCAAGTCATCGCGATAATTTAAATTTTATTTAATGTTATTCATCGTTTGATATTTTTTTCACGAACGCGCATATTAAAGGACGTTAATTGGCGCGAGGAAACTTTGTCGACGCTCTCTGTTAGTTTAATATTCGAAGATGCGCGCGCGAACGCCCATATTTTAGCATGACGTGGAAAAGTTGACAAGTTAATTTAGCGACCTGTAAGATATACGACTATCGCTGATAGTAGCTGACTTTTTCTCGGGACGAACACGCGAATCGACACAGATGCATCTGACAGTTACGTTTCTTGGTTGACATTTCGATCGTGTCTTTCAACGTATCGAATCACCGGAGTTGCAGCTGCCGGAATTGTCGTCGACTAAACTGGAGCTCTCGTAAAGAAAAGTTCCATTTACTTTTCCACTTATAATGTGCAATCAAACTTTTCTGTCAAGTATGAACGAAACACAATATTGCAGACGACGTCGAGAAAAATGTTACGATTACTGTCGGTGAAATCACGCGAAATTATCTGTATAATAAAGGATTGCGAAAATTATATTTTTAATAAGTAAGAAGAATTTTTAATTAAATTTCTTCTCAATTTATCTCGTCGCTGCTTATACATAATGTATATAAAACTTTTAATTTTTCATAAGAAGAAATTTCTTATATATTATTATTTGCGTGTTTGCAACGAAGGGACTCTGACTTAAATAAACGCGACTTTCTCGCGACCATTCTCTCCACCCTCTTACGAAAATTCCGATCGTCGTTCCGCGGATAGGTTCACGTTCCATAAAAATCTGCGCGCGGGTCAGGGCGCATCTGTTCCGCTCGTAAATTCCGGAGGAAGTGCTGACCGATATAAGTTATTTTTCCGCGCGATTTTCTCGTGGTGGTCGCGCAAAACTTTGCCCGAGCTTCTCGACTTTCTCAACTTTCCTTACAAAGAACGAGACTACGAGATCGCGTTTACGGACGTACGTAGAGATGAGGCAGGATAACAGGATCTCGAGATGCGGCGTGCCTTCGGAAATTTCGTACGTGATTCTCTACTCCGATCTTTCTCTTTCTCTCTCCTCTGATCGTGCAGTGGGATAGGTCGGCGATTACGACCGAAGGGGTGGAACCTCTCGTCGGGAGGATGCGTCGCGACGCGGACGACGGCGCTAACCGTGCCGTTGCTCGCGGTCCGGAGTTGAAGACCCGACTGATGGAAACGCACGCAGAAACTCCGGCATACTCGAGGGCGCAGGCGCCCCCGTGTCTCTCCGCTCTGTGATCTTTTCCCGTTACACGAAAGCCACCCCGTCGCCGCGCTGCTCTCGCGTACCGGGGGTGCTTTCCAAAGTGTCGCTGTCCTCTTCGACATCGCGCGTCTCGACCTTAGGGCGGTCACGCGCTACCTTCTCCTTTTCCGCCGGCTCTCTTCAACTGCAACATGTGCGTACAACACGTACATGATTGTGCGGTTTACCAAAACGGATATCGATATATGCTTAATACTTTATATATTTTCAAAATTTACTCTATATACATATTTTGACAGGTGCTACTTGAAAAATAATATTATATTATATTTCGATAAAAGCAATATTGAAGAAATATATATGCATATATTTAAAAAGTATAAACATACATGTAGGAGAACAAAAATTGTTTAATTTTATTTGATCTCGAATAATTACCACAAAGATTTAGTAATGTACATATATATATATATTGCTGAATCTTTTTGAAGATTGTTTGAGATTGAATGAAATTAAACAATTTCTTTCCTCGCGAGCGAACATATCAAACTTCTACCACATATACATGCGGGTTTTACAGCGTACGACTTACCCGTTCGTGTAAAGTAATGGAAAAAGAAAGTAGCGCGCACGGCAGCATCCTTATGCCGGGTTACAGCTGGTTTTCTTCCCTGGCGAGAATTACCGACACTCCCGAAGATAGGTCTGTAACCTCGCAATTTTATGAGGGAGAATTTTTATTTGTGGGAACAGAGTCTAATTAAATGCGAAAGAACGCAGAATGCATTCGTAAGTACGGCTCGCTCTTGTTTTAGATTTCTCTCTACGAAATGCATGCGATGTCGGTGTCGAAAATGCTATTTGACAGTCGCGCACTATTCCCTCCACGTTCCCCGTGGGCAGCTCGCGGGGAATTATTACTGGGAAAGTTGTTCGTAAGGAAAGTTATCTTTGCGTCATTGTTATGTATCATGCGACAACTTTATATCGTATCTTACTTGGACTTCCGACACGGTAAGTGCGCCGTAATATATTGTTTCGCCAATGGCCGTGCTACTTTTACCTTTACTCGCGCCCGGGATACAGGCGCAGTTTCCTCTTTCATCTCGAGGAGCACACGCGTCTTCCGCGAAGTGAATATCCTCTTCGACATTTCGCATTCCTATCTTACTTTGCCTCGCGGTGTTGCCTCTTCGAATGCCTCGCAAGACGAGGACCGTCAAGTTTTTCCACTCAGGGAACACTCCCCTCGTATCTCGCAGCATAAAACATTGCCGTGGTGGTTACGAGATTTCGATATTTCCTTTACTTCTTCTTTTGTGTGCCTGCATCGTATTTTGCATTAGTATACGTCGGTGGCAAAATCGGCCTCGGAGATAAAATATCTGCGAAAAACAATAAAGGCGGAAAAACAGAAAGATATTGATGTCTCTCTGGAAATGTCACAGATTGCACTTTAGTAAATTACTTCAAGCTGTTAAAATTAAGCGTTGTTTTTGTACACAGGCAATGACGAAGCGAGGAAATTTATATATTATGAGAGAGAGAGAGAGATAGAATATATCGTATAAGGTTTTTTTTATTTTTTTATTTGTCAAGGAAAAAGAGATTAGCTTAAAATTATTGTCGGAAATATATTTAAATGAAGTTTCGCGTATGAAAAAAACCTGTTAAATATTATGACGCGCGAGTAAACGAGTTAATAATTTATTGATTTTTCGTGGGACAGCGTTGAAAGAAAGAGTCAAACGTTTTGGCGATGCTACACAGATTCCTATAGAGAAAGAGAGCGAGAGAGATAGAGAGGGAGAAGAAAGGGAAAGATTCCATTAAGAATACCGAGATTATGCGAATGATCAGTCGAAATCCGTAAAACGAATCGAAGTATTTGCAGAGGACGGATCTAATTTCGCATGTACCGCGATGATAAACGGATCCACCTGAAAGAGGTGGATCCGTCAGGCAGGAGGAATAGGATTCGTCGGGATTTTATTCGGTTCGAGTCATCGAATTATCCTTGATTCCATGAAGTCGGCCTAATCTTCTTCTTCCTTGATCTCTTACTAAACGCTTATAATAGTATTTTCCATAATGTTCTTTCGATACTTTCACTTTCTCTCTTTCTCTGTGTTCGACTCTCTCGTACAAACGGAACACATATTCATCCATCTCTCTAGTGTAATGCAAATTTCGAAAAGCCTTCGGCTCTGCCCGTAAATCAGGTTAACGTTATCCAGCTTCGTCCATCGACTAGCCGGAGGCACATCGCACACGCCACGTAGAACAGGCGCTGTCATCACGATCTCACCTCTTTTTTGCTCGATCTCGCCGTGATTTCGGTTTTATTATTGTGACTGCAATGACTGAAATGGTTGCTGCACGCTTCGACTATGTCACGTCACTGCGATCGGGATTGTTCGTTCGTTTCATCTTTCAATAATCATGAATTCACGTGCGAAAATTTGGCGAAAGATAAATGAGAAAGGGATACATTTAAAACATTCGCTTGATTTATTATAATATATTAATATTTTTCCTACGTTACACTAAACAGCTGTAAATTCAATAACAAACATCTCTTAAGTAATACATTTCAAAAATAATAAAACAAAATTATAGAATCGAGAACTTGCACTTTTTAATAAAAATATATATATATTAAAAAAATATATATATATATATATTTAATATATTTTTAATATATTTTAAAAACATTTTCTTGTCCTAAAAAGAACACGCATTTTCATTCGTTATTTCATGTTGCGATGTCCTTTTTTTGACAAAAATTGTCTTATTCTTCAGTCACTTCTTTTCTTATAGTTTCTTATAGTTTTCCCGCTCGATTTGGCGTCAGCCGGCAAACGCAATATTCCGTTGACGCGCGACAGAGGAACTGGCCACGATCCAGAATAACTGCGCGCAATGCACGACGACACTCGATTATTGGAGGAAATAGCGTGAGAAGTATAGATAAAGGATGTCGGAATATAATGCAACCGGCAAGAAATTCCGCCTGGTACGAGGTATCTCTTGCTGGATTTCGATCGGCGTTGCGTTTATTTCGTGCGGAACTATACAATGCTTGTGGGCGTTATCGGATCGAACTCAATTTTAGCGAAGAATAAAAGCGACGACGAATGTACAAATATTGGGTCATTGTAATCGAAGAACTTGCATGTTAAAAGATGTGATAAAAATCCTGATAAAGCAGCTAGTTGAACGATTCTACAACATATTTGATTTCTCTTTTACTTAAAATCATACATTACATTTTTTTAAATTATTTTATTTTAGATGAGAAGCTTTGCAGTCTTTTACAATTTTATTTAAAAATTCTTTAATATGAAATCCAATGATAAAGATATCGAATCTGTCTAAGTAGTAGCGGTTATTAATTAAGGTAGCCACAGTATAATATTTGAACTTATCTTTGAAAAAAATATTTGCATAAAGAGACTTATAAGAAAGTCTCAAAATCTAATAAAATAATGTGTGATATGAGCTTATTTTTTTAAATCAATCTTCTTTTTTTAAATAAAGATTTTTAAGAATACATTAACTATCAAAAATTTTATTAGACTGATTAATTTTATAAGAAATTTTAATCTTATTTCTTTTTCAAAACAATTTCTTTATAATTATATATTTTGTGAACGTTGCTCCGAATCTCAATTATAGCAAGTAAATAACACTTTCTAATGCGCGATCGTGATGTAAGGTATCGTTATAACTATCGTCTATTATGTTGAAATAACTGTTTGCGATAGCGGGCGACATTCGATTATTGGGAGAAATAGCGTGGGAAATATGAAATAAAGCCGAGAGTATATATCGCACCATCCATACGGGATTGTGCAGTCATTCGTTTGGTATTATCGGAGTATCTTTGAGTATTCGATTGTAATTAGAATTTATCGCAATAGAGATCGGAAAGCATTGCGATATATGGAAGATGTTTTGCATTGATTGCTAGTCGTGCAATATTATGCAGTTTATTCTAAAAAGCGTAAATGTATCGGCGAATTTATTCTGGAGGTGAGTTTTTTTTATCTTGAAGTTTTTAATCAAATTATTCAATTTTTTCATATTTTGATGTACGCTCGAAAATGAAAAAGCGCTGTTCGTTCCGCCGTTAATAAAATACACGACTGATGAAATGGACTGCAATAAAGACATTTTTCATGGTTCATAATACACGGCTATCTCTTTATAATTGGGCCCACGCCCAAAGTGGCGATCTCGACGTAATAACGACATCGACCGGCCGTTACGCGATACCTACCATTAGCCTCATCGGCCAAATATCGATTTCGTTGACCCGCCGCGTGCGCCGCGGCCAGAAGAGAGTATTCGATAGATTCCATGAGGGAGAGACACGATTGTAGCTGAAAATACAAGGCGTTGATTTTTCATACCGCTCGCCGACCGCGTGAATTATTCATTGATCATGATAGACGTAAAAAGTTGCGGGACCATCGGCGATGAAAATGTTCCGAATGAATATAATCCGGAATCCCGAATATATAAGGCAGACAGTTTTCGGGAGATTCGCGCTGTTTCGCCACGTTGATCGCGTATGCAACGCGGTGAAATATTTTTTAATAGATATTCGTGGTAAAAAAATGCGGTAACGCGAGATAGCTGGTGACGTAACGATGCCGCGGCAAAATATTTCGCGATATTCTTTTCTATTTCGACCTTTTAACGAGAGAAAAATAAAGATTGATATTCTTTCCGCGATGACATCAGTCAAGAGCTCGCCCGATGGATTATTCGCGCCCAGATCGATATTTGCCATCAAATAATGCTGTAATAAATTAATGGTGGTATTGCAGAAATTCTGCTCGTGACATGGGTCGAAAATGAAAGTTTTTTTTATTCTTTTATTATTATATATTTATATTATTTTTTTTATTTAATTTTATTATACTATTTCTATATTTTC